TTCTTGCTAGCACGAGAAAGAAATACCCTAATCCTGCATTCTTGTTCTCTGTTTAGATCATCGTTGGAGGCTGGACAATTGGACTGCTATGGTTTGTAGATCAAGATCGTTGGAACGCAAGAAAAGCAAAGGACTTTGCAGATCTAGAAAAAGGTACGATCTTTTTCACAATTTCTGTCTAAATACAAGGAGATTCTTGGTGGGAATCGAAATCTATTTTAATTTTTCACTGTGCATGTTAAGTAGATTTCTAACACAATAGACATCCAACCAGGCTTCTATAAATTTTCTCATCAGTTCTTTTGCTTCCATCATCTTTTACCAGCTTCAAATTTTGAACCAATGGAGTACTAACTGGTTTACAATTCTCCATGCTAAATTTCTTCAAACTCTGCTTGGCATGCCTTCTTTGACAGAAAAAAATGCCTTCTTGTGATTGATCCACTTCCATTCTAAGAAAATACTTCATTTTTCCCAAATCTGTCATCTCAAATGCCAACATCATTTCAGCTTTTACTTTGTCAATTAAAGCTTACTGCTATCGATCATTAGAAGATCATCAACATACAGGGAGATGATGATTGATTCTTCCTCCATTTGAGTTATGTATAAAGTTTGCTCATTAACACTTCTCACAAATCCAAGATTGCTCAAATATTCATCCATCTTACTGTACCAGGCTCTTAGAGCCTACTTCAAACTATATAATGTCTTCTTCAATTTTAACACCTTGTCTTCCTTTCCAACCACTAGAAAACCATCTGATTGATCAACATAAATTTCCTCATTTAAGTAGCCATTTAAGAAGGCTAACTTAGCATCCAGTTGAAGAATTTTCAGCCACTTTGAGCAGCAATTATGATGGTTTCATACCTCTTCACTAGAGCAAATTTATTTGTGTAATCAATACCATATTGCTAAGCATATCCCTTCACAATAAGCTAGCTTTTAGCTTGTTGATTGATCCATCTGAGTTCAGTTTGGTCTTATACACCAATTTAACTCCAATTACACTTTTGTCTTTTGGTCTGTTAATCAGCTCCCATGTTCCATTCTTTTCTATCATGCTCAGCTTCTCCTTCATTGCAGCCATCCAACTATGTGAATTCACTGCCTCATTGAAGTTTGAAGGCTCCATCACGGATGCATTATATCTGGCATATACATCAGCAAGTGGCCTGGTCCTTAGCACAACATTTTATGACTCTATGTTATATCAGTTTCTGGCTCATTTAGTTTATCCTCATTAGTGATGATGTCTTTATTTTCATGAGAAACCAGCCTTGGAGTTTGTAATTTATCCAAGGTACTTGCTTCCCAATTCCATGAAGATTCTTCATCAACCTTAATATCCTTGCTGGACATCATCTTCTTGGTTTAAGGATTATAAACCCTGTATCCTTTGGCATTATCACAGTAGCCAACCAACACTCAAACCTCTGCCTTTTGACTCCGTTTGTCTCTTTTAACATCAGGTATGTGAGTGTAGTATATGCTCCCAAACACTTTCAAATGTGAGACATTAAACTTAGCCCCATACCATGCTTCAAAAGGAGTTGTTTTGTTCAAAGCTTTTGAAGGTAATCTGTTAAGTAAGTAAGTTGCTATGTTTACAACTTTGACCTAAAAGACCTTTGGAACATTTTTCTCAAGCATCAAACTGTAACGCCTTGAATTCTCCAAACCCAAAGCGTTAAAAATAATCGATCTTTCTTTGATTCGACCCCTTTGATGTTAACCAAAGTAATTTGTAAATTAGAAAGTTTTTGGGTTTTGAAAATATATAAAAATATAATGGGAAGTAGTTATTCATATAAACTTATAAAATTATGGCGAATTTCGTTTTGGAAAACATTTGGAGGCGATTCAGCAATTTCGGATTGAACAACAGTGGAAGAAAAATATATATGGCTTGGCAAATGTTTGTTAAAATTTATGAAATTTTTACAAGGACTAATGTATTCATATATGTACCAAGTATAAAAATTTGGGGCTTGATGATAACAATTGAAGCATGAAAATATTGTTCGAACCTACTGGACAGAAAACCAGATTTGAAACGACGCATTTTACCAAAATGGACATAAACTTTTCGCTTGTTAATGTTTTAAGGAAATTTCAAAGGCTACTATTAGAAGACTCATAGACCTTTCAAATGCCACGATTTTACTCTAAAATATGGAACATAGCCAAAAATATACCATTTTCAAATTGAAGACAGAATCTGGAATTATAATCAGCAGTGAATAAACTTCGGTCAAAGACATACCAACGTTTCCAAATTATGGTTGACATGAATAGCATACAAAACGGAACGAAACAGATGTTTAAACGTCTTTAAAAGTACCGTCTAATTATTCATAATACATTGACATAAATTGGAAATTTTACTAGAATGTTGAAAGCTTTTCAGATTGCTGAGCACTTGCCACTATGCCAAATTGCCGCCATGCCTCAAATCAACCTCTGAGATTATTGTGGGTGTGAGTACTACGAATAATACTCTGTAGGAAGACACTAGAGTAAATGATAAAATACATATATGTTTTCAGAAATGCAAACTTTGATTATTCGTGTCACCGTCAATTTCTTTCTCTTATTTTGAACCACCAAAGGATGCTTCCTTCATGAGTAACACAATAATAGTGTCACATGAAACCTCTCTTTTTCTGATTTGAGCCACCAAACAGTGCCTCCTTCATGAGTGACACAATAATAAGTTTGATGGAAAACGAAAACAAATAATTCTTAAACCACTTACATAAGTGCCAAGAACACCCCTACCTTAATGCTTGAAGTTTGAATACCCTTTTGTGCTCGATATGTAAAAATTCAGCATACTCTTTCCTCCTCTTTAGAAAAATTTCAGAACTTTTTTGTTTATATAATTCCACGTATAAATCTCATACATGTTAGAAATTTGAATAAATGAAATGAAAAGTAAAAAAAAAAAAAAAAACTGTTTCATATCATTAAACAATTAAAAGAATAATTTGATGTTTCATTTCATGCATTTAAATTTGTTGTTAAATGTCTTGACTATTCCACCAAGTTTTCAAATGTTTTTGATTAGTGCTTTGAATATTCAATCACTTATGAAAGGTTTTTTTTTTTTTTGGTCGCTACAACTCTCTCCCACTTAAAATAATTTCATCCTCGAAATTTAACTTACTTTTTTAAGGAGTTCGGGATACTTGGCTAAAACGTCTTCTTCCCTTTCCCAATTGGCGTCACTCTCACTATGTCTACTCCATTGGACTTTGACTAATGAAATTTTTCGGTTTCTCAGAACATGGTCTTTTTTCTCTAGAATCACTAGAGGAACTTCTTCGTACGTCATATCACTCTGAACATTTAATGACCGAACATTCACCACATGGATAGGATCTGAAATGTACTTTCTCAACATAGAAATGTGAAATATGTTGTGCACAACTGATAGTTAGGGGGCAATGCTAAACGATCTGCCACATTCCCAATTTTTCAGGAATCTCAAATGGACCAATAAATCTTGGACTCAATTTCCTTTTCTTCCCAAATCGTAATATTCCTTTCGTCGATGCCACTTTGAGAAATATTTTTTCTCCAACCTCAAAAGTCAATTCTTTTCTCCTTTTGTCAGAATAGCTCTTTTGACGATCTTGGGCGGTCTTAATTCTTGATCTAATTTTATATATAGCCTCCATAGTCTTCTTAATCAATTCTGGACCTAAAACTTTCCTTTCACCAACTTCGTCTCAGTATAATGGCGAACGACATCGACAACCATACAAAGCCTCATATGGTGCCATGCCAATAATAGCTTGGAAGCTATTGTTGTATGCAAATTCAACTAACAACAAATGGTCTTCCCACTTACCACCCAAATCTAGGACACAAGCTCTCAACATATTTTCAAGCATTTGGATAGTACGTTCAGATTTTTCGTCAATCTGAGGATGGTATGCAGTACTAAACGTTAACTTGGTACCCATAGCTTTCTGAAGGCTTATTAAAAACTTCGAAGTAAACTATGGGTCCGATATAATAGAAACTGGAACACTATGAAGTCACATAATCTCTCTGATATAAATCTATGCGAACTGTTCTAAGCTATAGGTTGTTCGAACTGGCAAGAAATGAGCAGATTTTGTAAGTCGATCCATAATCACCCAGATCACATCATGACCTCTCACTGATCTAGGAAAACCAACGACAAAATCCATTGCAATCTTTTCCCACTTCCATTCGGGTATATCCATAGGATTCAATGGCCCTAACGGCCTTTGATGTTCAGCTTTTACTTGTTAACAAACCATACATTTGGACACAAAAAAAGCTATATTCCCCTTCATATTTTTCTACCAAAATCTATCATGGAAATCTTTATTCATTTTAGTTCCACCTGGGTGTACGACATAAGGAGTAGAATGAGCTTCAGTCGTGATCTCATTCCTCAATACTTTATCCTTTGGCACGCACAATCGACCTTAAAACATCAAGGCTTTATCTTCAGCTATTTGAAATCATTTCCTCTTTTCAGTTCCCACATCAACCCTGATCTTTTCCAAAAAGGGATCATCTTTCTCAGCAGCTATTATTTTGTCCCTGAGTGTCGGCTTTACAGTAAAACTTGCTAACATCATCGATGTCCTTACTGATGATGTTAATACTTCAATTCTCAAGTTATCAAAATCTCTGATTATGTAATCCTACCTCGTACAAAGTACTGACAACTGTCCCATGTTCTTTATACTCAATGGATCAGCGACTACATTGGCCTTACCCAGATGGTACAAGATAGTGCAGTCGTAATCTTTCACCAATTCTAACCATCGTCGCTGTCTCATATTTAACTCTTTCTGGGTGAAGAAGTATTTGAGACTTTTGTGATCGGTATAAATCTCACATTTTCTCCCGTATAGGTAGTGGCACCAAATCTTCAAGGCGTACACTATCGCTGCTAGTTCGAGATCATGTGTAGGGTAATTCTATTCATATTGCTTCAATTGCCTCGAAGCCTAAGCAAAGACCTTCCCATGTTGCATCAAAAAACATCCTAAACCAAGCTTGGATGCATCAATATAAATCAAAAAACCTTCTGAACCGTCTGGAATAGTCAATACTGGTACAGATACGAGTTTGTCCTTTAACTCTTGGAAACTCTGCTCGTATTTCTCTGACCATACGAACTTAGTACCCTTCTGAGTCAATTATGTCATAGGACTCGCTATCTTGGAAAATCCTTCTATAAATCTTCGATAATAACCGGCTAAACCCAGAAAACTCCACACTTCTCCAACATTTGTAGGTTTCGGCCAATTGGTCACAGTCTTAACTTTGAACTGATCCAATTCAATTCCTCATTCTAAAATAGTATGGCCTAGAAATCCAAATCGATCTAGCCAAAATTCACATTTCTTGAATTTGGCATATAACTTTTCCTCACGCAGTGTTTCTAAAACTATCCTCAAATGTTGTTCATGTTGATGAGAATCTCTCAAGTATATCAATATGACATCAATAAATACGATGACAAACATGTCCAAATACCAATAAAATACTCTATTCATCAAGTCCATAAACACCGCAGGGGCATTCGTCAAGTAAAGGGCATCACTGTAAACTCATAATGCCCATATCGGGTCCTAAATGCCGTCTTTGGTATGTCAGTCAACTTGATCTTCAATTGATGATAGCCTGACCTTAGATCAATTTTTGAGAACACGGATGCATCCTTCAACTGATCAAATAGATCCTTAATCCTAGGAAGGGGACACTTATTCTTAATCGTCAACTTATTTAGTTCACAGTAGTCGATGCACATCCTCATAGTACCATCTTTCTTCTTTACAAAGAGTACCGAAGCTCTCCATGAAGATACACTTGGTCTAATTAATGAACCCTTTGTCTAGAAGTTCTTCAAGCTGCATCTTCAACTCTTGTAATTCCTTTGGTACCATTCGGTATGGAGCTTTGGACACAGGGATAGCTCTAGGTATCAGATCTATCATGAACTCCACTTGTCTATCGGGCGGGGTACTTGATTTTCAGGAAACATGTCAACATACTCTCGTACAATTGGGACATTGCCTAATACTTTCTCTTGAGTGGATGTGCTAGTAAGATGGACAAGATAGCCTTTTTCAACATGCTCTCTGCTTTTAAAGCTGAGACAACTCGAGAAAGTACCTTAATGCTCGATCCATAAAATCTGAACTCTTATTCTCCTGATATTTGAAAAATTACCTTTTTCTCAAAACATACTATCGTGGCTCGATTCTCACCCAACTAGTCCATACCTAAAATAATATCAAAATCTTTCATCTCTATACTATACAAGTCAGCCTTTAAAGTCAGTCCATCAAAATCTATCTATACCCCTTTTGCTACCCTATCCGTATTAATAGTTCCATCTGATGGCATACTCACCTCTAATACACTATCATTCTTTTGACATGAAGCATTAATCTTAGCTAGACATGCATTAGATATGAATGAATGTATCGTACCGAAATCAATCAGGACATATACAGGAATATTAGAGACAGATAAAATACCTGAAATCACGTCTAGATTTTTGGCAGCCTCGTCGTGAGTCAAAGCAAACACCCTTGCTTTTCCCTTTTTCTCTCGTTTGGGTTTCTTAATTGATGGGCCTGAAGAAGCCACATGGTCGGGTTGACCACACTTATAGCAGACATACTTTCCATACAGACATTCTCCTTTGTGAAACTTGTTGCATTTAGGATATTGGGATACAGGGTTGCTTGATTGACCCACATACATCTGCTTCTTAAACTGTCCCGTATTCTTATTCTTGTCCTGCCACTTCCTTTTCCCAAAGTCTTTACGTTGTCCCTGATTTACCAATTTTATCCCCGAGTAGGTCACTATTTGAGCTTTTTTATCATTGCTTGAAAAGTGGTGAGATATGTGAACTCACAATCTACCTGATCTCTGGGTGCAGGCCCCTCTCGTAACGTTTTGCCTTCATGAACTCGGTACTTACAAGATGTGGGGCATATCGGGACAATTCATCGAATTTGCTCTCATACTCAAAAAGTTCCATATCTCTCTGTACCAGTCTTAAGAATTCCGTCTCCTTGTGGTCTCGCATAGCTTGTGGGAAAAACTTTTCTATTAGCTCCATCATGAACTGATCCCACGTTAAGTTTCGTTGTTCCTTCTCAGTGCAAGTGCGTGATGTAGATTCCTACCAATGGCCTACTCACCCGATTAGCACAAACTCTGCACATAATACTTTTTGATTTTCTGGGCAAGATATGTGCTGAAAAAACTTCTCGATAATACGTAATCACTCATCAACTGCTAGAGGATCCTTTCCACCATCAAAGGTAGGTGGTCGGTATCTATGAAATTGTTCTACCTTTAGAACAGGCAGTGCAATCGTGTATGTTGGTGGCACCAGCGAAGCTAATGGAACTAGTGAAGCTTGAGGTGTAACCTGAGCAGCCAAGGCCTGTCTCAACTCATCAATTTCCCGCCTTAACTCCCTAATTGTCCTCGCTTGTGCCATATTCCTAAAATAATTGCAATCTCATTTAAAGGAGCCAAGGATATTTGTGCAATATAGGAAAAAGATTCATAACTCAATATCCTTTATTATTGTCACATACAAATCCTTCAGGAGACAAAAAAAAATAGTAAAAGAGCGTTTGGCGCTATTCCATAGCATCATAAAAGAAATCCTACTAAACACCAACAATAATTAAACCTGATAAAACTACTAAAATTCACTTATTCATTATTGCTATCATAATCATTAATCCAGCCTCCATGAATCCTAGGTCTCTTAGAAAACTAAACCTCATCATCCGAAATAGGTGGAGGTGCATTTCACGAATGTGCATTTCGGTAGGTACACTATCGTCTTCGGGGATCTCAAGTCGGGCCAGCTCCCACCGCTCAATTAGCTCTGCGCAGAAAGCCTCATAATAAATCTCTCGAGGTAAGGTAGGCACACTAATCTCCCGTAAATAATTATAAATCGATTCGGCTACCTCTAGCCACTCTTCTGGCAATATCTCAATAAGGAGGCAGGTGGCTCGATGACAAGTGACCACATAGCCTAGTTGTCTCACTTCCCTCCATCTTACTAACATCTCCCAAATGTGTTGGCCCATGTTGTGCATTGGATTCCACCGATACTCTACATATTGCCTCAAGATCTCATATCGATGAGGCATCGATGAACTCGTCTTCCAACAAGTTTTCTTAATTCGTACCATCTAAGTCATACCAATTATTCAAAATGCAATAAGTGGGTGTCTAATAAGTTTTAGTTAATC